GGGTTTTGTGTGCTGCGCCAGCAGAAAAACGTCCTTGGTGTGTGCATACGTTCCCGCCCTGGCTGTGTTAGCTCCAGTCTGCAATCAGGGCATGGATTCAGGGTACCCTGAATTTGCTTGATAACTCTGTCTGCCTGGTCCAGAGATGGCTGTGTTTTAAAGGGCACTGTTTCTTATATTGGCTTTTTTTATTTCCAACAGTCAAGTCAGTGGCATTGTGCAAGGTCAGTCCCTTGTTTTTAAGGTCCTTTAGGAAAAAATAGCGAAATGGGGATGGGATGGTTTCTGGTGTTTATTGCCTGGCAATAGAAGGTAAAACAACTCCTGCTTTCCTCCCATTTCTTCCTTGAAGTGTTCTTATGTTCACATCCTTGTAGACTACACGTTGTTGCACTCCTCTACTTTTAACAAGACTTCTGTACTTTACTGTGGAATTGCATAAGTCACAGCAGAGTTAGAGTCAGAGCCATGCCTTTGGTGCAGGCTCTGGGTGCCTGTTAACTAGGGTTGCACATAGGTCTGAAAGAAGGATTTGACCCATAGCCTTGCTTCAGGTGTCCAGTAAGAAGTGCTTTTTGTCAGACTTCCTCTGTAATTCAGGGTTTATAATCTCCAACAAGAATTTAAAGTAAAAGCATATGTTTCAGCTTCGTATGTTTAGGTCTTTTCTCTCTCCCTTTTATTTTTTAATTTTTTTTTAATCTCAGGGCAAGCTTTTGACTTAATTCTGGGGACAGTTTTACCTGGGTGAAAACTGAGCGAGGATGGCAGGAATTGGCTTGTTGTCATGGGGGACGCGGGGATAGAGGTTTATAATTGAAAATAACACATAAAAAGCTTGTTTTGAATTTCTCAATGGAATGTAAGGGACCTGGAGGGAGGTTCTGCATCCCCTCAGATACGGTGCTTAATATTTATGCTTTCATTGCACCTTGACAAACATTTCACGTAGTTATTGCTTTGCTTGAATATGGAAATATGTTAATTACAGCCTTTATTCCGCTGCCTGCTCTTTTCCTCAGCCTTTTCTATTCAACCCTCTAGGTGGCCCAGCACAATGTGGCTTCTTTTCTTTCAATGAGCTCTTTCCACACTAATAGGGTCCAGGGTGATATGGAGAGCCATGTGCACAAAACTGGTGCACCACCCCCCATCCCTTTGTGGGCATGTCAGGTTAAATTCATATCAGCAGGAGGGTCACTGCCATGATTTTCAATAGCACGAGATGAGGTGATGACTTCAGACAATGGCGCCACACTCTCCAGTTGGAGACACTTGCCTCACCAGTTGCAGTAGTTAATTAATATGCTAAAAATAGAAGCCAGTGATACAAATCGCTGCCTGTTGTACAACAAAGACTGGGCATGTGTAGCTTTGATAGCCAAGTTTATGGTGCTTGTTATGGAGGGAAGTTAGTTTAGAGCTAGAGGCAATGTAAGACTTTCTGGATGCTGAGCTTTAGTCTGGGCCTCTGGCCATTCGCTTGCTGTCTCATTTACATTATGAATGATATTAAGGGAACTAACAAGGTTATTGGGCATAGAAATGTTCTCATGTGACCCCACGTGGAAGCAGACCTACAGCAGTGCTAGTTGGCAGGGGCACTGTGGCTCTATTCAGCTTCCTAGGAAGACGGTTTCTGGGAGTAGATACAAATTCAACCAGGAAAAAAACAGTGTTCGGATAATGTGAGGGTCCTGATGCAAGCCCCTAGGATGCAAGCCCCTAGGGTGCAAGTTCAGAGGGCAGGCTGGATCTGTGTCCTTCACTCAGCCCATCGTGCCTGGGCAATGCTGAGTGTTGGGTGCAGGATCCAGGAGCTCCCTCTTGCTTGGGTCTCCCTGCCAGCAGCTTGGGGCTGGCTGAAGCTGCTCTGTGTGTGGGTCCATCCAAGCCTCCGAGTAGATCTGTTTTGCCCTGCTGCCAGCTCAAACGATGGATGGGAGGGGGTGGGTTTTCGTTCTCACCCACTGCGTCATAGCTTCCATAGGGAGTATCCAAATGCCAACAGAGTTTGAGAGGTTTCTCATCATCTTCGTGTTACATCTTCCCCAAAACTTGAGACAAGGAAGGTTAAATCGTGGAAAATCCATTGCCGCCCATAGTTCCAGTGCGTAAGTCGGAGATGGTTTGTTAACTCCAAAGATTTAAGTGCAGAAGTTGCATCCCAGCTTAGGTCCACCTTGGCCAAGTGCAGCCTCATTCATGCCATGGCAAGCACATGGGATTCGCAAACCCAAGCATATGCAGTGCGTACGAGAAGAGGAACTGATCCATGGAGATGTAGTCTTCTTTAATTTATTCCTTTTTAAAAGAAGTTAGTGGAATTGCTGATGAATCACTCTATGTAGATGACAGTAGATTTTGGGGACACTAGTCTCTTCCATAAATGTTTGAACATTCTTGTATTTTATAGACGTTTGTTATTTACCAGTACCTAAAGGGGGCCTGCAGGAGAGATGGGGAAACACTCTTTATCAGGGAGTGTAGTGAGAGGACAAGGGGCAACGGTTATAAGCTGAAAGAAGGCAGACTTAGATTAGATATGAGAAAGAAATTTTTCACTGTGAGGGTGGTGAGGCAGTGGAACAGGTTGGTAGAAGTTGTGGATGCCCCATCCCTGGAGGTGTTCAAGGCCAGGCTGGATGAGGCTTTGAGCAACCTGGGCTAGTGGGAGGTGTCCCTGCCCATGGCAGGGGGTTGGAGCTCGATGATCCTTAAGGTCCTTTCCAACCCAAACCATTCTATGATTCTATGATTCTGTGATTTGCTCCATGGACCAGGAGGACACTCTAGACAGTCACACAAACACATAAACATTTAAGACCTTTACAAAAATGTCTTGCTATTGGAATCCTTTAAGCATTCCTGGTTTCCATATTGGACTTTGTAAACCGATTGCCAAATGGACATTGTAAACTGGTAGCCCAGCTGTCACATGTCTTCCGTGGATCCACTAGCTACCCGATCAACCCACAGGAATGAGCTACTGCAAGAGTCACCCAGAGTCAAGTGCTAGGGCCCCCGTCAGTAGGAATTAAGAAGAGAGGCAAAACGGCATAAAAAGAGAGCCATTTCAAGGACTTAAAATCACACTGTATTTATGGCCTGGTCTCGAGGTCTGGTGCAATGATAAGTGCAACCGCAGACTGAGGCACTGGGGATAGGGCAGGTTCTGTGGGGAGTACATGTGGCATGTGTCAGGTAGCCTTATCTGTTTTTCCTGGACATGCATTTACAGGCTGGATGGGGCTAGCCCTTGCATGTGTGTGTATAAATCCGTATGAGGTAAACGTGAAAGTGATTTTGATCATGGAAGTGCAATTCCTGTTACCTTGACACATGCTGAGATCAACATCCTCAGGGCTGCGTCCTGCACTGGTAAGTAGGTGTCAAGGCTCTCCTGTTGAGTCACTCGTTAGCGGGGACAATATATATTAATTTCCAACATCATCAGCTTTCCTATGTACAATAGGTTCTTACTATTACAGTAGTGCATCATTATTATTTTTATAATAATGACAGTCTGTGTTCATTGCTTCAGTCAGTGGGAATTTGCTCCTTCAGAAGTGGTTGTCAGAGTGTGATGTTTGCTGAGCGTCCCTGCTAGGAAGGACAGTGGGTTTCAGCAGTGTGCAATGGCGGGGCTTGCAAGTGGTCATCTCCTGGTGGCTTTGTGAGACAGATGAATCCATGTCAGGGTTTCATCTCCTCCTTTTCTCTCCCTGCTTTTAACATCCCCTGTCCAGTCCACCTCAATGAATGTTATGACCCAAGTCCCATTCTCACCCAACTGCTTCATTCTTTGTGTGTCCCAGGGACATATTCCAGCCTAGAGAAGAACATGCCATCTCCACAGCTATTGCAGTATCTGCCAGCTCAGAGTCTGGGAGGCTGAAAACAACTTTCCATGTGTCTAAGACTTGGGTGGTAAGGCAGGCATCAAGAGGGTTGTAGAATTTGTACTAGCTGGAGAGAGAAGGCTTGGGATCTGCACTTAAAAGAAGGGCAGTTTTCTGTAACAATCAGTTTCTGTAAATTGAATGACTATGTTGATAGTGGTTTATTTCATATTACATACTACTTGGGTTGCTTCTTCCTGTTCCTCCAGTCTCCCCAGCTGAAAACTGGTAGAGAAGGGTTTGTTAATGAGTTACTGTTGAACTAAACAACTTGCAAACCAAGTTTAATTTTAAGAAGATATCAGTAACCAAGAAAATCTACTGGAAATGGTATTTAAAAAGACATGCCAATAAGCCAGTGGCAATGGCAGTATCATAAACCATAAAGTCGCCTTATAAAGGTCACAAGAACATTTAGTTTTGTTTTCATTTCTCTCCTGATCTCTGCAGATGTGTGAGAGGAAGTTTTGAAATGTACTTGTTTTTTAAGAAATAGTAGTAATGAAAAATGCAATCTTTGTTTTTTCTTTGATTATGTAGCTATGAGCTACAAGTGTTCTTGCTTCCTAATTGCAAAGGTAGTAAAGATGAATTGTTAATTAAAATCTCTTTCCTGGACAGGTCTTCAAATGCTCAAGCTAATTAAGCCTTTAAAAATTGACGTGACTAAAAATCTCAGTTTGGTCCTTTGTGATACCGTATTCCAGTTAGTTTTCCGGTTATACAGAGAGCTCTAATGTGACTGAGACCCAAATTTCTGACATAAATTACATAAAGCCTCCTTCTTCTCTTTCATTTTCTTTAAAACTAAGGAAAGTCTATTAAAAATTGTCCAAGTTTACTTTATGCATCAGTGAGAATAAAAGACCAAACTGCATTTCCATTTTAATTTGCAGATCTGTTACCCCTCCTTTGACTGCTTGTGATGAGCTGTGTGACTAATGAGCTCCACCAGACCAAAAAGAGCGGCACTTTTCCCTTTCTTCTACTTCCCTGTTCTTTATTCTTGGGTGTGGTTTTTTTTTATGTTGCTTGCCTCTGATGTTTTGCAGCTTTTCTGATCTGGGCTTGGACTAATTCCCAGATCTGTTCTTGCAGATTTTAACTTTGCCATGTACCCACCATCAATGATAGCAACTGGAAGTGTGGGAGCAGCCATCTGTGGCCTTCAGCTCGATGACGGGGACAGACTCACGGACCTCCTGGCCAAGATCACAAACACAGATGTGGTGAGTGTCCTGCATTCCTCTTCTCCTTTCACTTCTGATGAAGCAGTGAAGAACTGGACCATCAAGCCCAGCCTGGTCCCAGAAGCCCTCTGGAGCAAAGGAGAGGGGAGCTCATGGAGTTAGCGGGTTGCAAGTGTGGAGCCAGCACCTTAGTTGCAGTGCTTTGGATGTCCAGAGTTTTTGTTCGTGCTTTGTTCAGCAGCTTGGTGGGGAGAGCCTGCTTTGCCCACCCTGGCTGGTTGTCAGGCGTGCTGTAGGGGAAAGCTGCCTTGGGTACTGCCTTGGGTGATGGTGCAAGCAGGCAGACAGCATCCCCTGGGGCATAAGGTAAACCAGTATGTGTGTCAGTCCTGTGTTCACAACCTTGAAACTGCTCTTCTGGGCCTCAGTGAGGTATCGTCTAAAAATCCGTGACTTAAAGGAAGTGAATAATGAGCTAATTCTCTATCACTGTCACAGTGTGAGACAGGTGCAACCCAGGCTGACTGGGGTTTTGTCTATAACTTCACTAAGCTTGCCCCATGAAGGGCATGTCGTGGATTGTCAGAAGGTCCCATTGTCAATAGGAGAGGTGAATCTGATGGCAGTTCAGTGGTGCTCAAACTCACTCAAAAGTGAATTTTCTGTTCTGGCATCAGAATCTAGTGGGGGCATTAGAAGATGAAAACATGACATCTCTGCATGGCAGTGTTCAGCAGAAAGCTAGGAGGACTGAAAGGAGCACTCAGGGTGCCTTCCCTGAGGGCTGGTACCTCTCCTGCTGCACCCCAATGTCAAGACACTGTGGGGAGAGCTTCTGGTCCTGCAAATCCAAACCACTTGGTCTGTGGATGAGCAGGAGTTTCACCTCTTGCAAAGTTGATGTTTTTTGCCATGATGAAATTCACTCAAATGGAAAGAAAGTTAGTGAGACCTTCTGAGACGCAAGTCACTAATAAGATAATGCTTTTTTTACCATAGAAGTATCAGTTTCCAATGCATCATACTTAACATGTGCTAACTATATAACTTCTTATTGCTTTTACTTCACAGAGTAAGTACTCTGTGCAATTATTAGATCTGTAATAACATTGTAAAGAGAAGGTTTGTTTTTTTCCAAAAATATTCTGCATTTTGGTTAAAAAGGAATAGTCCAGTTTAACAAAAAGGGAAGAATTCTGCTATTTATTTTTTTCTTAGAATCAGGTTGATCCTAATTTTCAAATGCAGTTCTGGGGCTTCCCATTTCTTTTTATTGGAACTGGGTTTTGCTCAGAAGGAGGAACATTTCCAATTCTGACGGCTTATAATGTAAATCCAGTAGCTGCAGGAGTTTAACATAGATTTATTTCAGTGTAAATGAAAATTTTACACACGTAATTGCTCTTTGGTGTCTGCTTTATAAGTGTAGAGAAACAGAGTGGTGATACATTACAGTAAGCAGCAGGAGCGTGCAAGAAGAATAATCCTATATAACAATTCAGACTGCATGGCCTGGTGCAAGTATTGTACAAAGCTCATTTGTACAGTTGGTACATTTAGACTGGGTAAATCCATTAGATTTACTTCATTTATGTGGATAACAAGAATTATCTGTTATTGGTACTGATATTGGCAGTTATTGGCTGAATGAAGTTTTCTCAGTGGATGTTTGTCTGACTGGATGTAACATGATGTGTTTTGGATACTGCATCCAGCAAATGTCCAGGAGGACTCTTAAGACAAGTGGGCAGATGTGAGAGGGACATGAGAGAACAGGGCAGAGAAAGACGAGGATTTAGGGAGAGCAAAGGTCCTGTCTTTAGCCAAGATTGTGAATATCCACAGAATGAGGAAAGTGGTTGGTGCTAGCCAGTACAAGCTTCTTGTATAGCCCCACGTCTGAACTCCATGGAGTGTCTGACAGGTTGGTGCCCCGCTGCTATGATTTTCCTTGTTATATGATGATGCCAGAGAAAGTTTTTTCTACTTGGCTGCTGCTTATTTTCATGCTTGTTTTTGCTGATGTGTGCCCACAGAACTGATCGTGCCCTTGTGGTTCAAGCCCCATCCTGGAACTGGTGGAGCTTAAAGAAGGGGGGAAGGACCACTTGTTGTTGTTTCAGAGTTGTGGGGAGAAGGGGGCTTGCTTGGTTTCTAAGCTAGATCAGTTCACTGATAGATTTTTAAGAACAACCTCACAAACAGCTGAGAGAGCTGAGCACTGTGGCACAGGGCCAGATGGGGATGAGAGGAATATCTTTAACCATAATTGTCAGTGAGCTTCTTGTGCTACAGCTATAGAAGTTGCAGCCTGACTGATAGACCAACTTGGTAGTCAGCAGGACAAGGATAATGATGAGAGCAAGGGAATGACAGCGTGGGATGAGGAGTGGGAACACAAATAGCCCTTACGGTGGCAGTGGAGGGACAAGGAGACATACAGAGTAACGAAGAAGGGAGTAATTGGAAAGTTTAGGGGGAGTCTTCACATGGTTGGTGCCGGCTTCTCCTGCTGTGTAGCAGAATGGAGCACATCACTGCCTGCAGAAATCCCTGAGTAGTCCTTTGGAAGTGCTTTTTGAAGGCAGAAGCAAGTGGTGCTCCACCAAAACCCAGACCTACAACAGATAACCCTCAGCAGAGCTCATCGCTTTGCCACCTGATTAATGATGCAGTCTTTCCATCACGAGACCAGGTTGCCCTTATTGGTGAGCTCCAGATAAACTTATCACTTGTTGGAAGGAAGATGCCAATGTAGCCCTTGCTGGTGTATTTGTGTTTGATGTGTTTGGTGGATTTTGGTTGACCAATGAGTAGCCGGGTTCCATCTTTCTGGAGATGCTAGGGAGTTGTTCAGGGTAGTTCTTCATCTCCTCTAAGGGCTTCCCTATGCAGTCACAAGGATCTTTTCCCTCCTTGTTCTTTTTCAGCATGGACAGGACTGCATAGTGCTGCTGATACTCAGCTTAGGTGAGACTCCAGACATGGGCCAGAGCCACAAGGGCTACATCACTGGTACCTTACAAGATACTTATCTGTACCTTGACTACCTGATCACAGCAAAGAACATTTCCCTCCCTCCCCCATCATTTTTGCCAGCAAAGACATTTTGAACATCCCTTCCTGATGCAGCCTTTGCCACAGTAATCTTTACCTAATAGTAGGTGAGTAAGGAACAGCTTACTGTGGCAAGGTTATTGCAGTTGTGCTGCATGGGGGGCACGTTCAGAAGGTTCCACAAGGCTGGATGCATCTGCTAGCTTGCATAGCTGCTCCTCACAGAGGGGAATTACACCCACAGGTTTTCCTGCTGCCCCTCTCCATGTGTTTCTGGGTGCTGGAGGGTGCCTTGCTGCCTCACCTGTGGAGCCCTGCTTGAATCGGGATCCCAGCTGACTCTTTCCATGCTCAGTCTGCGTCGTAATACCAGCCTCATCTGTAAAATGTATTGTTGAAAAAAATGTACTGGCTAGATTGTGTAAGAGTTAGCCCAAGGCTGTGTTAATGAAGGGTAAAGACTATTGTGATACATTTTACGCTGGGAAAGTTGAACAGCTTCAGTTCTCTCACTTCCTAATTTCTGATGCCTGAGAGCTCTTCCTGCAGCGACACAATTAATTCATCGTCACTGTGTGAATTATTTTGTTTTCAAAAGGGAGGTTAGGGAGGAGAAAGAAACGAGAGCTCCTAGGCTTCAGGAGCATCACGTGGTGGAAAAGCAAGGGAACTCACAGAAATTACAGTCCTGCAGAGAAAAAACTTCTTGCCCCGCCCTGTGCCTTCTGGTAGCCCACAGGAAATGGCAGAGAGCTGGAGGACAGTCCTTCCCGACTGGAGGGTGTCCGGGGCTTCTGGATCTTTTTCTTTTGGTGTATGTGATTGCTTAGAATGGAAACAGATGATGGGATTTTCTCATTGGCTTTACAAAAAATGTCTCCATCTGAGGTGAAGCATGAAAAATTTCAGCTTCAAAGTTGCAAGCGTATGGAAATAGAGAATGGTAATGAAATACTGATGCAACTTAACTGCAATGAGCTTTTCTGAACTTTTACTGTTTTATAATAATAATTTGAGGGTGCTATCTGTTTGCTAGGAAATAGCAGCATAAACCAAGAGGCTGAAGTCAATGGAGTTATTTTAGGTTTACACTGGTGTAACTGAGACTGGAGTTTGGCATTTAGTGCTATGATGTTTTTAATGGATGTTTCATTAAGAATTAGACCAAAAGTATATTATTAATAAACAGCATTTAATTTAAAACCCAGCTGTTGGGTAAGCAAACAACCGAGACATGAGTGTTTCTTTCAAAAACACATTGATGTCAGCTGTCCTTATGTGAATCCAAAGCAGTGCTCCAGACTTTAGATGAGATAGTACAAGGCATCCTGCCAGTGTCATCCTAGGGGTAACAGTTATGTGTGATAAATAGCTGCCCTGGGCCATTTGGTGAATCACAGTCTGAAGAGACCGTGACAATGAAGCCATGCAAACCTCAGTTTCATTACTCCTTCCACCTACCAAAATAAACACCAGGGAGCTACTCTTGGAGAAGCTGAGAAGCTCGGCAGCCTTACTGGGTAGTGAAAGTAGCTCTGCATGGTATATCTGAATTGCCTTTTATGATCATTATTGTTCCAAAGAGTCGTTAAGAGCTAGTCTCACACAGCTTCACACAGCTCTGCAGAATGGGAATTGCATGTTCTGATCTGTTTTACTGCCAGAGTGGGAACGTTTCCTTTGCTGTTTCTTGAAGAGGAGAGGAGGGGCTAGTGGGCAAAGAGTTAACAGAGCTACTCACCGGAAGCTGCCAAGCTCCATGTGAATCTCTTGGTGGGTCATTGCAATGGAAAAATAAACAACTCAGGAAGCCTGGACTTTCCATAGCATCCCAGACCAGCCCTCCAGTGCACACAGTATCCTGTCCCAGGTGGAGCCAGATGCTTCAGAGGAGGATATGAGCATCCCCACTGTGTACGATTATGGAATATGAGGAAGGATAGCTGAAAGAGTAGGGCACATTTTAAGACCTTGCAATCAAT